AAAATTCTAACCTAAAACTATGGCATTAGATGAAAACTTCATAGAAGAAATGTCCTAAGTCATGCTTCACCAACCTAGCTGTGATATGATTTCTTAAGCTCATACCATAAACAAAATAATGTATCAAAAGCATCAGTATCGTCAAGATCATTACCTCGAAACTCTGAGACTGTGATTAGAGTTTTCAACCACTCTTCATGGAGAGTCGAAAACTCCGATCGTTGCTCACTCGATCTGAAGTTCTCTTTGATGGTTTTCTTCAGTACTTGGCTAGCTCTTGAAGCAGCTTCGACAACTCGCCCCGGGATTCCAGCCATGGCTGCTACTTGCAACCCATAACTCTCGGGGCACGGCCCGGAGTTAAGGCGGTATAGAAAAACCAACTCCTGGTCCTTGAATGTGCAGGCCATGTGTTGAAGCACGACATGAGGATGAGAGGCAAACTCCTTTGTAAGAGGATGGTAGTGAGTAGCGAACAGAAGCCGACAGTTCACCTTTTCGATCAGATGGCGGAACACCTGAAGAAAGGATTCAAAAGATACAACACTAAACATTCATATGCTGGACAAGAGTTGGCAGTGAAATCGATTAGATGAAGGAAAGAAATGTTACAGCATATGCAATGGCATAGCCATCAAATGTGCTGGTTCCTCGGCCAAGTTCGTCAAGAATAACAAGAGCATGTTGAGTAGCATGTTGCAGAACTGAAGCTGTTTCCGAGCATTCAACAAGGAATGTACCTACGGAGGAGTATTATGGATGATTATTGTTTCACAACAAATATGACARTACCAACATTAATGTCCATGCCTTAAGGTTCCGAGTCGAAACTAAAATATTCGACAGTTTCAAGTCAATTTGCTTTTTCTTTATATATAAAAAGTATCAGTATTGGTTTTTATTTCCTTAAACCTGTATTATACAAGTTCAGCATCAATTTTGGCCAAAGGTGTGGGATGGAATAGGTGGTTGGCCTCCTCTTAGTGTGCACCCAACCAAGTTTTTAAATCGTGCTCCTTCTAAACCCCTAGAATCTAGGTGTTACCAATCTTCCGACTGCTATTAAAAATTTGACAACTTTTTATTTTTAAAAAAATAAAATATCTTATTCTATGCATTATTCTCTCCTATTTGTTTGAAATTGTTAAAATTTTAGTAGTGGTTGGAAGAGATGAGTGCAGACCGATCAACACCTAAGTATTATTCAATTTAGTATTATCTTCTCTTATTTCTACACTTTGGATCTTTAAACAAGCTTGTTTCTCATCTGAATAAATAAAAAACACTTACTTTCTCCTGTCATGATTCGATCAGTAGCACCGAGTCGCGTAAAGATTATATCCACGACCGAGAGTGTGCATGTCTCGCAGGGCACGTAGCAACCCAACTGCAAATTAAACCAGTTTATCATTAGAATAAAATGGTGAAATCTAATAATCTATCATCTGAATCAATCCTCCCTTTTAGCAAAATTAGCAACAATTATAATCGCGACTCGAGGCCACGATTATAGTAAAACATGCAACAAACCTGTGCAAGTATAACAGCCAGACAAGTGGAACGAAGAAGTGTTGATTTCCCACCCATGTTTGGTCCAGTTAGCAGTAGAGTACGGGGATGGTAGCCATCTTGATCAGGGCCAAGGATTATATCATTTGGGACAGGTGTTTCTCCGTTCTCCACAAGGGCATACGGATGCCACAGCCCATTAATTTTAAGAACTGGCCCTTGCTTTTCAGTGATCAACGTTGTATTATTTGATTGAGGCAAAATAACAGGTCTAGACATAGATCCTCCAGACGAATGAGCAATAACTGCAAAAGATCTCAGCACATCAATGCAATTCAGGGCATGAATAACTTCAGACCATTCCGTGGCTTTTTCTACAAATAACTCGATCAGAATAGAGAGTCTTTCAGCATCGGAATCCGTTACATCGTGATTCTGTGAAGAGATTAAAAACAAGAGTGAGGATAAACATTTTTAGCAAGGATCTGAGATGCAGTATCAAGGATTTATAGAACTACAGAATAAGGCATACCTGATAATTTGGAAATTCACTATCTACAGCTGCTTCAAATTGAGAGAGGAATTGATCGAGCCCACCGCTGCCACTGACCAGTGGAAGTTTTACTACTTTTGATAGAGAAATGATGTAACCTTCCTTCTGGACTTGAATCAATAAATCAAGTGCAGTCCTGAGGCCCTTCACCAGAGATCCGAATAGTTTCACCTGCACCATATTACCAATATTCACTTCATATATTAACATAATTTAGAGGAATGAATCATCATGCAACTTGCTGCTTGGTGTAAAACTAATGCATGGAGAAACCTTGCTAATAAACTGCCAGCTAAACCATTAAGTTCATAATTAAATAAAAAACGAGAAAGAACAACTATAGATAAAGGCTATTCAAGACAACCTCATTTAAGAACTAACCTAAATACACAAACTGAAGTGTCAGAACTTCTTTAGTGTGACTTCAAACAAGAGTGATTACAAATGCAAAAGAGTAAAATTTGAGAAGATGTGCAATAATACAAAATTCACATCCCCACCATCAGTTCAACGAAGGAAAATGGATTTTCAGATAACCATGGGGAATGACCACACGAGTAACACAGATCTAACACCTCCAAATAACTTAGAAAGGCAAAACTATAATCTTTCAAGAGCAAGAAAAAAATTCAAACGCATACATTTCAATCTAAGAATCCCATACTTTCACGTTTAACATATGAGAAGGGTACAAATGACGTTAGATTTGCTCATTATAAACATATTAGACTGACCCGCCGTTTCTGTAACTTTTTGCGAATCAATGGTAATATAAGAGAAGCAGATGACTGAACAGTGGCCTTAATCTGCCCAAGCAACCTCTCCAAGTCTGGAAGCTTGCGGAGATAAGTACCAAGAAGTAACATAACTTCAGATTCTGCCATCAGTTCTTCCACTACATTGAGCCTAATATTTATCTCTTGAACATCTTTAAGAGGATGACAGATCCATAACCTCAAAAGCCGCTTTCCTGATGATGTCACACAGTTATCAAGATATTTGTACAGTGTACCTGCAGCATAAGTATTAAAATTAATAAAAGATGTTGATCCCATCTTTCAGACCTTGAATTTGAAACAAACACCTACCTGATGGACCACCATCATCATTGTTTCTGAAAATTTCAAGATTGACCATTGTTTGTCCGTCCATTCTTAGGCAGCCTCTGTAGACTTGGTATGGCAGTATTTCTCCATTCCGCAAGACATCATCTAACTGTATGAAACATTTATTCATAAATCATAGCAGTTATCTAACAAGACAAAAATCGGTATCTCAGATTATCCATATTTACCATCATCCTTGACATATGACTAATAAGGCCTCCAAGAGCACATAGAGCAATATCATCATGGACTGTGTCTTCGACTGTATGATTCCACAAATTTAGGGAGCCTTTAAAATATCCTTTAGACTGGATCAAAAGTTTAACCTCTGAAGCTTCTAAAAAGTCTGTAACTGGAGACCCTGATGTAAATTCTAGAGCAGTGGAACCTGCGAGACAAGTACAATAAGAACTTCGAGAATAACCAGTATAGCTCAAACATGGTGAATAAAAACCCGTAAGCTATTTTTCAAAACACTTCCAAGAAAACCCTGTGTTTATTGTTAACAAAAAAATACAGATGCTTAAGAAATCAAGCGTCAATTTTTTATCATTATGAAACTCCTGCACAATTATTTTAAATATATTATTGATTCAGAGTTGTGTAACCATGAATCATTTTGGAGACTGAGGCGACAACATTTTCCACAGCAATAACATAAAAAGGCAACCTTTTCACTCATCAAAGGAAGTTTCTTATTTAACACAAAAACAACTAACCAGTTGGCGAGAACTTCTTGAGAACTTTCTGTGTTTCTTTAGATAGTCCTGCAAAAATTTAAATCGAGGAAGTTGAGCAGGTAAAGTTTGTCAAAAATAAATATGTCGATCAATTCAATGAAAACATAAAATCTTAAGTGGAGGGGGAAGGTTTTCACCTCTAGCTTCATATATTATTTCCTTTGGAGACACCTAGAGTAACCACAGATGCACGTATTACTATCAAATTTGAAAAAGAAAATAACAGATGCGAAAATGGAAATTTTGAATTGCTTACTTGCATCAAGAGAGCGCCCAGAGCAGCACAGGAAGCATCATCTTTGATAACACCCGTCCAAAATTTTAAAGCAGCACAATCAACAAAAGCAAACCCATATGCAATTGAATTACTATCCAGCCCACAGCTCACCTAGAGAAAATTTCCAATGAAACATTCTGTCAATGTAACCTTATCGTCTTATTTTTATTTTCAACAGCATAATCCAACAGTAAATGGGAACTTTTTAATGAGTAAAATTCTTTAAATTTACCAAAAAAATGCAGACAAATAAATACTGCCTGAACTCAGAACTGAAAGAGAGAATAGGACAGGATAAATTATCTAGAACCACAATCGTCGTTCTTTTAACCAGTAAGTCCAAATGTCAAGTGCATACAAGAATTTAATCAATTTCTATTACCTCTTTTATGGCAAGCAAATGAACAGCATCAGGCCCAATGTCACCATCAACCTTGGTTGACGGAGTGACAACCTGTATCAATTTCCTAGGTATCACCTACAACCCAAAGTTAACAAGTCAGAAATTAAATGGCTTGAGGGATAACCAAAGAAAGTCGGCTAGAATAGGAATTATAACATCCAGATGAAAAATAAACAAATGGGAGTCATCCTTCAAGAATTTTGAACATTCAAATTTAAAAACCATCTTTACATATATACATGCTAAAAATACAGACGTACACACAAAAGATCCATCATTGGCAAGCATAACTTATGAAACCAACGAATACGCAGAATCAATGTTTGTGTATTACGTAAAGTATCATACTTACAGAATTTGCACCTCTGGTTTTTGTTTGATCCGAAGATTCCAACTGCTCAACTCGCCCAACTTTATATCTTCACACAGAAGTTGTAAAAATGTGTTAACCTCACCTCACATACTCCAATTAACAGCACACAAACATGATGTTGAAGTACATTTTCATGAAGATTTTTATTCATCTATAACGTCCCTAGTTTACTCGTTTTCTGTTTGGTCAGTTTGATCTCTCTACTTCAGATATGCATCAAGTGAGAACCAAAGCATGCACATCTTATAGAGGATACAATCTGAAAGAAAACATAAATAGGAAGTCATACGAACAAAAGGTACAGAGTTCTCAACATCCTTACCCACGAGCAACAAGCTTTTGAACAGCATCATCAATCCCACTTTCAGGAACACCAACCTAAATAGAAGTGGCATGTCACGGATTTATGGATAACTTAAAAAAGATGAAGATATGGATTGACTGGAAAGAACAAAATTGGCGATTTTGATTAACCTGCCTACATTTCCCAACACCGCTTAATGTCATTTTCCAGTCAAGCTCCTTGTGACCAATTTCAGCATCTTGTTCATATAGCTCATAGAACTTCCCCTGTAGTGTGCAATGAATTGAGATTCCAGAATCTTTATTTTATGAAATAAAGGTACCGTACCACTCACACATAGAAAGCATCCACTAATAAAAGCAAAGTCTCATGGGAGTATAAACTGAGAAGAAAAGGAATCAAGCCTAGCAAATAATATGCTTTATACCTTATCAATCTATAAATGCATATGCTTACAGGAATAGGTCGGGAATGATGGATCTCAATCCAAAGTGAAGAATAGTTACTGAATTTGGAGGAAATGATACCCCCCTTGAAAATGTAAAGACTAACATTTCCTTTCCAAAATTCATATTCACTATTTCCTTGTTTCTTTCTTTAAATCTCTCTTCGATGATGGAACCAAATTTGATTTAAATTGATTCTCGTTTCATTAACTCAAAACCAAAATCAACGATAATACAACTCATTTTGATTTTAGTTCCAAAGTAACCTTTGTAAACGTGATATTAAAAACTCATATGGTTGCAGATTATGGAGATAACCTAATGTAGCACAGGTCACAAGAAACAACAATTATTTAGAAGCTGAAGTCTGAAGACAGGAGCTATATGAACAAGATGCTGAAATTATTTTGAATTCAACAAGAGCTATTCAACAATTATTTTGAATTCAGGAGCTAATTCATGCAATGATGCTGTTGATGAATGTAAACTAACCACTTTGAAGAAAAGCAAAACGTCCATATATTGACATTTCACATTCCAGTATTGTTTTTGTGACGCTGACATTTTCTTCAGCACATCAGGTGGAATGTATAATGTTTTCTTATCATATAGAGGGTGGCCAGGCCTTCTACCATTAGCATCTCTGACTTGAGAGGGATTGAGCCACTCAAATTTGCTAGTTGCATCAGAAACTTCGTTGTGAATCTTGTTTGAGTTTATTGAATCCTGAAGGAGTTTAACTCTTTTGGTAGTCTCCTGAAAACAACGACCACTCGCATCCTCTAGAAAATCCTCTTGAGATCTCTTCAAACGGGAGACAGAAGGTTTCATACCGGGAGTTTCAGGTCCAGGAATCTCATCATCGCTTACAATTACCAAGATAGGTCCTCTAATTCCGTTTAAATTTGCAGCGTTGAGTTTATCGTGATGTGCAGAAGCTACCTCTTGCCTCTGAAATTCTTTTGAATCATTAACCTTACCAGAAATGGAACATAACTGAGAGGAATCTCTACGAACCTCGTCATGAGAGGAATCTTTTTGAACCTCATCCCTGCATAATTCATTCACATATATTAAATGCAACTCGAGCATAGCCACGAGTTTAAAATTGTCAGTTCCGCATTTATTCTCCCTCGAACAGGAGACAACTGTGCAAAGAATTACAAAAACAGAATTCTGCGCGGTTCGAATGGAGAACACAAAATGCAGTCTATCACGAACTACAAATCGAAAAACGTACTGGCTTAGTTAGTTTCAACATTACCTCTGATGCGCCTTACGTTTATCGTCAACTCTCACAAATTTGTGCATGATGCTCGAAAAGAGAGAAGAACCTTTGTTCTTCTCAATCACCGGCAAAATCTGGCGGGGAACCTTCTCCGGCGGAGTGTCGGTTCCTCTGATCTCCAGTGAGGGATCCGCGGTGGTTTTGATAGCCGGCTGCTCCAAACCAGAAACGCCTTGTTTCGCCGGAAATCGAGTGAGCCGCTGGCCGATGGAGGAGGCACCGCCATCGGAGATCCGTTTATCGGACGGAGATTTTTGGAAGAAGGATAACAAAGATTTCTGGCGCTGCATTTTTCGCGATGAATTGGAAGCTTCGCTAAGAACTGGAGGGAGCGAAGAGCAGTATAAAAGGTTCAAATTGGCGCCAAAACGTTTGCGCCCTTCCGAGTGCCCTAATTTGCAATTTGGTGAATGTTTCTCAATTTAATATTAATATTAAAATATAGCATAAATTACACTTTTAGCCTTTTGGGTGGGTCCACCTGGCCGAAACAAGCGCGAAAGACTTCTTAGAAACTGGCGGGTGAAAAGATGGGAGACGTTTTCCTACGTATTTTTTTAATAAGGAAATTATATTGAAATTTTTAAATGCGTAGCTAGCTTGTAAAAAAATTTGTAAATATATATAGAGTATGGAAATATAATATTTTTTAAGAAACTAACTATTCGTTGATTTTTAAATACTTCTTATTAATTAATTAACTTTAACGGAAGTGATAATAGCATTTTTTTCTTTAAAACCTCGATTACATAATTGTTAACTTGAAAGCAAAAAAAAAATAAGACAATATTAAATATTAGTTAACCACGATCAGATCAGTAGTCAGTAATTTATCAGTCAACAATCTTAAATATTAATTAATCGTAGTCTTAAAAATTACTAAATTAATCTATATATGATAATAACTTTGTTGACATTGTGAGTTAATTATAGTCACAATAATAAATTATAAGTAAATATAACACGTGTTTATAATAATTTTGTAGCTATCAATTTAAATTAGCTCAATAGATAAGATATCAATTATATAGAATATTCAGCTTGGCATTATAACAGCGTTTAAAAATAGTATATACTTTATTAAATAATATACCATATTATAATAAGGACACACAACAGTAGTATAATTTTTCTCTTACCTAATCTCAAATCTCCATATTTCACTTAAAATTAAAAAGAGCCTCGACAAGAAGAAAATGAAATGAAATGAGGTGCCACGTCATCGTCTTTGAGTTGATATATTCAAGAACGTTCGAGAAACAACAAGAAGCAGCAGAGGCGCGAAAACAAAGAACTTTCCAGAGAACATTACCTCTTCGCTATATATATATAATTCATCTTCCGTTGGATGCTCAGGCGACTTCCCTGATCGGAATCTCTTCATCGTCCGGCGTAATCCATTCCGTTTCTCAATCGATATCCGTTTGCTTATCTTTTATAATTTCTCGAGTTCTCTACAATGCCGAGTCGATTCCCGGGAGCAATTACTCAAGATTGGGAGCCAATGGTGCTCCACAAGGCGAAGCCA